GCAGTGCCAATACGAAAGATATAGACAAAGTGAAAGCTGAGTTTTCGCATTTGGAGCTGCACACGGATAGATAGCGTCGTTGTAAGATTTTAGCTTTCAAGCCTGCTTGATTCCCGTGAAAAAAAAATTGTTAACAGTTTTGCAAACTGAATATTTGACGTGTTTGAATGAGGCGTAAGCATGCGTCAAACTTCTTTTTACGCTTGTGGGCTCTCACATGGACAGCATATATCCTCATAAAAGTGCAGCCTTTAGTCTAGCTCCCGAGCTAGCAGTGTCCCAAGTCAAATTTCCACTTGCTCCTATGTGATATCTAGGCACGCAAATTTGAACTTAAAATCTATGGGCCGCACATGAACAAAGGACATATTTATGAAATTGCAGTTTCTTAACTTTTCCGATTTCCAGAATTATTTTGCCGTTAAAACTTTTCCGCTTTGCTTTCAGAAGTCTGTAGACGTGCATGAAAGTAAATAACGTTTTTGAGATCACATATGGACCGGAGACATCACTGTGAATTTCAGTAGCTTCCCTAGCTAGTTGAGATGAAAGCAGAGGATAAGACTGATACACATACAACCTCTCGGAAATACGCATTTTTGCATTGCCCCAGTTAAATCCTCGCAGAATTTCAGCTTCGTATCTTGTCTGGTTTTGTAAATTGGTTTTTTGATGCGGATACATTTGTTGCGCTCGTACGCTTGATACAGGTGTATGTGAGTGCTAATTTTATGTGCGCAGGCTTGCGCATGGACAGTGATTGCTCTTATAATATCATAACATTCTGTGCAGCATAGTTCCCTGACTGGCATTTTGCCAGCAATTTCCAACCTCGACTTTTATGTACCTGTGCACGTGACACAGGCGTAAAGCTGAGTTTGAAATGTTCGCTCACACAAGGACGTAGAACATTCATGTAAAATTTTTGCGTCCTAGCTTGTCTGATCCCTAAAATCGCTCTTCCGTCAAAAAATTAAAATGTTTTCTTTTAGGCATCCGCATGTGAGACACAAATGTACCTGAATGATAATAT